AAAAAAAAAAAAAAAAAGGTTTGAATTCCCAAAAAAAATGCAACAGGTTTCTTGGAGAAGCTTTGAGAAAGTTAACGGAAAGATAACGGAGGAAGGGACGGAAGTGACGGACGGTAACAGCCCAACGAACGGAAGTTACAAAAAAAGGGCTATTTTCTTCCATTCTTATAGGTTAGGGGCTAAAACCGTTATATTACAAGGTGAGGGGCCAAAACCGTCTAACTTATCAAGGTAAGGGGCTATTTTTAGGCTTTTGCCTCTGAAACATTGGACTGTAGAATGTTTCGTATATCTTACTTCCCGTACCACTGTTTTTAACATAGGGTAGTACTATAGGGATAATTTTTTTGTCTTATTTTTTTATACAATTTTTATATATCTGTCACGCCCCAAAACCCAATTTCGAGACGCGACAGACACCGTGCACTCGTGAGACGGGTCCTACAAATGCACAAGGCTCGGAACTTATCACACCACAATCTGATACCATCAAAATCTGACGATCAAATTATAAGTTTCTCCGATCATAAATCTCCAAATACACTCTAGCTTACAAGATCATGATTTATTTTGAAAATCTATATCCAATTGCAATATGGCTAGCCTTCTAACTCGTCACTTCCCGTGGTTTCCTCGTCCTCGGTTTCACTTCCTGAAATGGTGAATAAGGAAAACTATGAGATAAACTCAGTAAGTAAATATGGAGTGCCCCTTATCAAACTTATAGCATGCCAACATGTGCAATCACGCAAAACGGACACAGTACGGGAACGAAATAGACGTCTCCTCTATAGGTCACGGCCAGTGTATAATCCCCACTAGCAGGGCCACGATTTGCTGGTGTATAACCCCCACTAGCTGGGTTGAACGAATCGGCTCTATCACTACATGTCGACATGTGCTAGCGTTTAGAACCTCCCACACTAGCAGGGTCACGAATAACATGACCACATCGGAGACAAAACAGGCAGAAGTTAACAGGCAAATCACAATTCACAATCACTTTCAGATCATCAGGACAGTTCACAATCACTTTCAAGTAGGCATGCTCAATTTAGTGAAAAGTATAAAACATTTCACTTCAAATCAGTCATACTTGTGTAAAACGGGTTTAGTCCCGCCACCACTTCAAAAACAAATCAAAACATGCTTTTAAAAACTCTACGGGCATTACCATAAATTTACTTACCTCACTTGCATAAAACCGAGCACTCAATTCACGCACTAACTAACAGAACGATCAAGAACCTAATCAAAATATCCACAATTAATTAATATCGGACTATCACACATTCAAACTGAAATCATTATTAGGATCACTTCTAATCACAATGCTATTTCCATAAATCTCCACGTGATCAAATATCTCCAAAATCGTTCTTATATCACAAACTAATCATTTAAATTCCCGTTAAATGTTGGCCCTCGGGGTGTGAACAGTAACCAGTGAACAGTGCCGGTGAAGAGTGACCCCGATGTGAACAGTGACCCCGACGTGAACAGTAACTCCACTCCCACAAATTGGCCAAAACACTAACTAATCTCACGGGATTTTCTCTAAAAATCACAGCAACTAATCAAGCTAATTTACACTTAACCAAGCTTACAACATGTTCAAAGGCTACCAGAATTCCTCCCTATTTTTCTAGCATAATTCGGACACACAGGGGCAGCCAATAAAGGGACAATTTCAAGCTTAAATGGCTGTCACATACCAGAATTTTCCAACAAGAACCGGACCTAGCAGGGGGAAGAAGCCGGCGACAGTGCAAGGAAGAAACTCACGGATCTACCCAAAATTGAAGGAAATAAGAGCAATCAAAGTTAACCCAAGCCAATTCAAGCAAGAACAAAGGAATTAGGGGCTGTTCTTACCGAAAAAAATGCCCAGAAATCACCCACAATCAAGAGCAGCCGGCGAAAGGACAAAGCAGAGCAGGGCAGATCCGGCTTTTCCAGCAGGGGGGGAAGATTTCTGGGTTCTAGGTGTGTTCTAGAGCAAGAAAGGAAGGAGAAAACCAAGCTTATCTCACCGGTTTCTCAAAGGCATGGCTGGGTTTCCCTTTTTTTTCCTTTCGAGTGGCTGCAGCGGGAAGAAAGAAGAAGAAGAGCAGAATCGGGCAAGGCTGGGAAGAAAAGAAAGAAAGAAAAAGAAAAAGAAAAGAAGTCATCCTTATCCAAAATCTTTCCCTCTTTAAGTCCCTCAGCTTTTAGAATATTTACATTAGGCGCCAAAACAATCTTTTCTCACAATCAAGTCCTTAACTTAATGCTAAAATTCCCGAAAATTTGGGATATTACAATATCATTAAATGATTTGACGCATTCAATATTACGAGTCTTACATGAATTAAAAGAACCAATCATTTTAATGATATGTCAAGTTGTACAAAAAATAAGATAAAAAAATTATTAAAAAATCATTTCCCTTTAATATAATATGCCTTTTTCATGACAGCACAAGTATCATATTCTTTAAATTTATTAATCTTACTAGTTTTTATAAATTATTTT